GTGCCAGACTCTTCAGATGGCCCTGCACAGCACTGTGCTTGTGCCCATGCCTGGCTCTCACAGCAGCTCATGCTGGTGAGCAATGTCACAGCCACAGTGGGACACGGCTCTGCCAGTGCCAGGGAGCATCACAAGACACACAAAATATCAACTCCTGCTCCCTGCTGTGCATTACTGCTCTGCACAGCCAGACCCAAAGGCACAGTTAAGTTCCATAAAAATGCCCCAGCTCCCAGCATACTACTAGCCAACACTGCAGCCTGGATAAGAAAATGAATTGGGTTACAAAGATTTGTTTTCATGGTGGGTGGCCAGGTCTACATGTCTGTCACATCATTTCAGGTGCACTATTACATCATTGAGGAGCATGAGCAAAATAAGAGGAGTTTTATCCTGATGCATAGATTCTATGACTCATTTTAAAATAACCTAATGTTAAGTAATGAAAATAGTCTCCTCAAAGCTGATCTAAAAAAAAGAAATATACATGGTTGGTTTGTTTGGGGTTTCTTTCCTGCTTGGTGGGTTTTTTTCCCTGTATTCAGAAGGTATAAATATAAGTCATTTAGGATAATTATCAATGTGTTGAAACTTGAGTTGTCTCTTTTGAGAAAATTTATTTTCTCTTTTGATTAGGGATTATAGCACTGTCAGCAAGAGAGCAGCCTTCGTATGAAGAACAAGTTAACCCTTCTAATAAATCATTGCCACAGTCAGTTATACTTCTCTGGAGTATATTTGAACCTTCCTGCCTCCAGGTATTTAATCATGACTTTTAAATATGCCAAGTATTTAAATAACATGAGAACAAACAAATGGCATGACTATTTCTCAACTATCTTGTTTTTCTTCTCTCTAGTTGGTGTTGAAGGCTCCTGAAGACATTTACTGCTTTCAGTTCAGTCCAAGCAATCCAAATTTCATTGCTGGTGGCTGTGTTGATGGACAGGTTTTTCAATCTTTAAAAATAAAATTGCGTATTTCTGTATTTTCTTCCAGTATAAAAATAAGGGTGAAGAGATGTACTCAACATCCATAGTAACACAGAGTGACAGACAGAAAACAGATGGCACAGAGTCCTGAAGCTCTCCTATCCTGGACTGAAGCTATGTCTGGTTATTCCATAGCTGAGCCATTACCATACAATGCTTCTTTGTTGTACTGATAAATAGGTCAAGTCATAAAGACTTGTTTTTAGAGACATATGTAACCTTTCTTCTGATTGCATCAAGCTGAAGAGAAAATACTTTAAAGACTTCATAAATTCTAGTGCAGAAAGTGAATTTCTTCTGTTTCCCCAAACCTCCATGATTTGAAAAAAAAAAGTGTATTAATGCACATTGTATTAATACACATATACAAATATAATTTGTAACATACTAATTTATCATTGTAGGTTGTATTGTGGGATATTTCTAAACACGAAGAAAGGCTGGAAAGCACAAAGCCTGTTGTTGAGGAAGTCACTGACTCTGCAGAGGGTGAGCCAAGTGCAGCAGTGGTGACTGAGGTAACTCTGGTGCTGATGGGTGGGTATGGTGCACAGGGGTTCCCCAGCAGTGAGCCCTGGCACACAGAACACCAGCTGGATCCTGGGCTGCATCCAAAGCAGTGTGGCCAGCAGGACAAGGGAAGGGATTCTGGCCCAAACTCTGCTCTGGTGAGATCCCACCCAGAGCACTGCATCCAGCTCTGGTGCCCCCAACACAAGGAGGACATGGAACTGTAGGAGCAAGTCCAGAGAAGGGCCACACAGTTGATAAGAGCACTGGAGCACCTCCTCTACAAAGACAAGCTGGGAAAGTTGGGGCTCTTCAGCCTGGAGAAGGTTGCATGAAGGGCTCACAGCAACTTTCCAGGATCTGAAGGGAATCTAGAGGGAAGCCAGAGAAGGACTCTTGGTGTGCAACTGTAGTGACACGACAATGAGTAATGGGTAAAAATTAAAAGAGAAGAAATTTAGGTTAGATATTCAGAAGAAATTGTTTGCTTTGTGAGGGTGGTGAGACACTGGGATAGGTTGTCCAGGGAGGCTGTGGATGCCCCAAACCTGACAGTGTTCAAAGCCAGGTTGGAAAAGGCCTTGAGAAACCTGGTCTAGTGGGATATGTCCCTGTCCATGGCTGGGGGCTAGGACTAGATGATCTTTAAGGTCCACTCCAACCCCTTAACATTCTGTGATTCTATGAAATCAAGATAACAGCTATTAATATGTTAAATGCTTCTGTTATAAGTATATTGCAGTGTATCTGTATGTCTGTGGAGAAAAAACAGGCGAGGGTATCCTGACTCAAAAGAGGGGAGTAGATAATCTTTGCAATGAGACACTAGAAAGGAGAAGATGAGTTCATGGAATCAAACCTTTATCACAATTAACATGGTATAATTTCTACCTGATTAGTACAGCTTAAAAGGTTTACTGCATTTTGTGCAACTTATGTTTTAGTGAGTCTGTTCTTCAATGGGCACCAATATACCCTCCACTCTAACCTTAAAAAGCCTGTCAAACACATATTGTTTCTACTGAAAACAATACTGAAAGTATTCTAGATGTTTATGAACATAGAAAAGGTAGCTTGGAAGATGAGAAGATGATTTCAGTAGAAAAAGACAGTAAGGAGGATAAGCAGGAGAAAGCCCCAAGAGGAGAGGAGACATTAATGATGTCTGCATATGTGTGGAGGCATGTTGGAAATCTTTTTAGAGCTTTATATCCAAAGGCCTTTTTTGATACTTTCCTTTTTTTTTCCTCAAATGGAAGGTATTAGACCCCCAAAAAGTGCTATAAACTGATCTGAAATATTCTATGAAAAAGCGTTAACAGAATGCAAAGTAACCTTTTATTCTTTGCTCTCTTTTATTTTGAAAACGCACTAAGATAACTTTTCTTAAAACATTTCTAGCCATCACCTAAGAAGCAAGCCCAGTACAGTAGCACAGAGCCAACTCTAGTGAGAAACTGTGCAGCCTCTCCCACACCATATTGTCATACACAGCCAGTAACAGATGTACAATGGCTACCATGTAATGTTGAGGTGAGATTAAAAATTCATTTCTCTTCTTTTTATTGCTTCTCTAATCTACTACCTCAGAAATCCTAATATAAACTCAAGAGAAAATACTAGAGAGTTAATTATTTGTATTCATTATTTCTCACTGCATTTAGTAAATACTAATAATCTGGTGCCTCTTGTTGTGTTCATTGTGCTTTACAACTGTGCTGTGCTCTCAGTCTGATATGAATCTACTAATGCTGGAAAAAATTTCCATAACTTTACAGACAAGCATAATTCAAAATTATAATAAGCTTTCCATATTTAAAATGTATTGAATTTCTACTATGAGCAACCTAGCCTGTCACTAAGAATTCCAAGCAATAACTTCAATTACCTAAATATCTAGATACCCAAGAATGGCATTATTGTAGTCACCTTACTTTTTCCATTATAGTTTTAAAGCACCAAAGTGCTTATGGTCTATAGGAACACTGGGTACTGATTTACTATCAAAGTATTGCAAATGGTGCTTAATTCATTTGAAATGCAAATGTAGTCAAATGCAAATTAATGACAGTGGAAAGCAGGTCAAGAAGAAGAAAACTGAAATCTTTAAAAGGTGTATGGAAATTATATATCAATACATTTTTGAAAAAAAATTTAAGACTTCACAGACACTACAATCCTTAGTGGCATTTCCAGAAAAGTAGAAAAGGGGGACACATATATCATCAAATGTCAGCTGATCCCTCTGTTCATTATTATTTTATACAGTAATAGTCATGGATACTAACTGGTACCAGATGGAAAGCATGAAGAAAGGGATTGGATAGCAGAACATTGTTGTGGTTTTTATTGTTTGGGTGGGGTTTTTTAGTCAAACTTTAGGCTCAGAAGGCTGTTTTTGTCTTCATCTGGGATAACAGATACAGGAGACCCATGCTTAATAAATAACACTGACAAAGGAGTCACTTTGCCAGTATTTAGCAACATTACTGGGACATACTTTTGTTATATAAACATGGAATATGTGTCAGCCTTTGCACAACACAGCAGCTTTTATGGCACAGTTCCTGAAATCAGCAGTTTTATAATTACATATTAATGAAAAAGTATTCTAAGTTATATCCAGAATCTAATTCAGCTTTGCCTGCCTGCATTATTACCATTGTGATTCCAGATAGACAAACCGATTTTTAAGCCTAATTTGGTTTAAAAAAAAAGCCGAAATTTTGCCACATACTTGGTAAGTACAGTTTTTCCCAAATTATGTTTGGTTTTATATACTGGAAGGTAGATTTGATTAGCCTATAATCCCTTGTTACCTCTGACACCTTTCATTTATTTTCCTGGGTAATTAAAATTCATTTGCTATAAACCAATAACTACTTGGTAAATGATAAATAGTATAAAACTTGCAGAACCCCACACACAAAAACTAAACTATTAATAATTAACATTTGAGGGCACCACTACAATCCCACAGTGAGGTCTAGCCAAGTGATAATTTAAGATAGATGACCCATGGTATAAACTTGGCAAAGACACATCACTCCCACTACACTGAACTGTTGGAGATAAATTTCTCAATTACTGGCTCTTTGCCAGTAATTAAACTGCATAATAGAAGTTACAAACATGGCAAATTAAAGAGGTAAGTATTTATCCTGCTAAGTTAATTTAGAATTTTAGGTGTGAAGTAAGCAAAGCTGGTATCAGTTCACTTGAAGTATATTTGTAAAATACCTTGACTTTATAACTGCAAATTAATGAGCCCTGATTTCCAAACCTTAGCCAAGCAGAAACAGTGACTTAATTTCTAGTAGCCTGTTTTATGTGTTGAAGTACTTTCATATAAGAGTGTGATTTTTGTCTTTCATCATCTTCTTCCCCTGTAATAATTATTACCGTTATTTTCAGGAAAACCAAAAGGGTGGAACTTCTGAAAACAAAGATGAAAAAAAACTGCAGCTTGTAACCTGCTCCCCTGATTGGTATGTACAATCAATACTCTACAAGAAATCTTCCAGTTTCCTTTGAAAAGCTTTATGAGGCATAATCCATAATTTAACTGGCACATTTCTTGATTCCTATCAGCAAACCCTGAGTGGCTGAAATTCTGTATGCAGAAGACAAGCACTTTGCATTCTTGCCCAGTTAAACCCTTTACAGGAAAGGCATTAAGAGTTTATTAACTGAAAACCCTTGCATATATATGCTTATATTGTGTGTACCCCCTTCAGAAGAGGGTTGATCACACACATTAGCCTGGAAAGCCACATCCCCACACTTACATTTGTTTGTATGACATGCACAACAAGCAGTTAAAAGACTCCAAGGCTTATTTCTACAGAAATACTTAAATTATATATCAATTTGGAGACTTAGCTAGCAGAATTACTCTTTGTGAATCTCCTCTTTTGCGTACAAAATAGTCATGATAGTTATATTATTATTCTGTATGAAAGACTAGCAAGGGAGGCAGAATGCAAAAAGTGGAAATAAATGTTTACCTTTCATGATGTCAGAAGGCTTAAGGCTTCAAGGCTGCATGGGTGGGCTCAATCATATATTTGTTAGTTACATCAAAGGGAGTGTCAGGGAGAGAGCAAAATTTTATAATGATGCTAAGTTATTTTTCCTAATCAAATAACAGAGAAGACTTTGAAGAATTAAATGAGAAGTAAGATTACAAATGCAGTTCTTAATAAGTTTGCAGTGTAATATAAGTAATACACATAAAAGAAATTATTTTAACTACTCACACACCAGGATTCCAAATTGAAGGTATTTGAAGTTAGGAACAGGGAAGTCACTGGAATGTCATACTTGAAGAGCACATGTCCCTGAGCAACTCCTGTTAGAAAAGGGAAAGAGATATCAGCAATGAGGAAAGTTTCATTGGCTATATCAAACCTGTGAGTGAATGTCCAGAGTAGAACAAAAGGAACAATCAGAGGGCTGAAGAGTCCTATGAGATGACAAATATCAGTGGGACCATTTGCCTTGAACATCAGCAAATTAATTGGTACTCAAAAACTGGTACTGAACTTCAGTTTGAGTTACTAAATTACCTGCTATAGCCTCCAGGAATTTCACCCAGGCAGTGCCAGTAATTTCACCCAATAACTGTCCATAAGCAAACTGTATGAATACTATCTAACTGCTTTGGTATAATTAACTGATGAATGTGTGAAAGAAGAAATATATTTCATCATTTGCAAAAGAAGCAATTAATTATCTAGCCTTTGTCTGACTTTCAGTCTCTACTGTTATATAAGGCTTGAAGATAATAGGTTAAAAAAACCTCGAGGTTTAAAATGTAAAGAAAATTGCATGTAGCTGCAAACCAAAACACTCTAAAATATACATTATACAATTATTTTGCAGCTCAATATTATTTTGGGATATTCCATCCACGGAACGTCGTGAAGAATTTTTATCTGCGAAAATAAAGGAGGAGAAAAGATCTCAGATGCCCCCTGGTGCATATGATGACACTGATGAGGATTTAGATCTCTCCTGGAAACCTCTCATAAAGGTAGTGTCCACAAATACAGAACACAGGGATTGAGCCAAACTGTAGATATGGCCAGAACTCCATAGGAACATATTTTGCTTCCCAACTCTATTTTTTCCAGCAAATTGTGACTTCCTTGTGATTTTCTTTCTGATTATGAAATTAAATACTTCAACATTCCTTTGAAACTTCAATAAAATACATTTTGAAAAGCTAATTCATGAGAAACAGCATGACTGCTTCTAAAAAACTGCAGTAGGTGCAAAAGTAGTTGTGTAAATACTGTAAATTCCTGTCAACCTTTTCAGATGCTCTACTGTCTGTCTCAGTGGGTTCCAGATAGTGCAACCATGGTCATGATCAGCAGAACCATAATTACCAGCAAACCAACATTCAGTCTCATAAAAACAGTCATAGCAGGTTGTGGAAATAAAAAGTGAGGATGGAAACAATGTTAGGTAAGAAAAAGAAGTTATAATTTTAGACATGCTGATCTGTGCTGCTCAGAATACCTGCAGCTGATACAGTTTTTGAACAAGCAAAAAGTTGGGTTGTTTGGGCTTTTTTGCTAGAAACAAAGCAAAATTCTTACAGGAAGGAGGTAACACAAACACCATTTTTTCCATGCTTGTATGTGAGGCAGCAAATACTGATTGTGGAGTATTACAAACACACTGCAAAGTTCTGTTCCATTACAGCAGAAAGTAATTTAGACTTGTACCTCAAAGATGTGACAAAATGGTTTAGCAAATGCACTTCTTCCTGAGCAGATCAATCTGCGTGAAAGGGATAACGACACAGAGTATGGTCCCACGAGAATCAGTTTCAGGAAACTGCAGTATCGTTTCAAACCCCCAGGTAACATTTTTATTACACCTAACAGAGGAAAGTGTTTTTAATAAGCTTGTATTTCAGTATAGACATAATTAAAGCTGAGCAACAAAATACTGAAAACTAAACACATTTGGAGAAGATTTCTTAAGTATAGTGGTATTCAGTGTGTCACCTACATGTACTGACTACCAAGATATGTACATGTAAAAATCCAAACTGAGCAATTCCATATACAAAGTGACTCTATCCAGCTTCACTTAAAAGCCTATGCAAATCCCTCACCCAATCTCTTTATCCCTGAAACAATACATCCTTTTCAGCCATTACAGAAACATATTTTTAGAAACATAATCCATTCCCTGGAGCAGAGATGTTAGCTCCTGGCTGTGGCAGCTATGGGTGATGTGTAAGGGCAGCTCCCACAGAGACACTGGTGCTGTGTAAAACTGGCACAGAACAGGATGGTGCAACACCCTGAGCATTGCCTGGGTATAAGAAGCACTGACTTCAGAGTTGCAGCAATGGGGAGACTCCACCAGGAAACAGTAAACCTACAGAACTGCTGCTTTACTCTGCAGTCTTTCTTCATATCTCTTCTTGAAATTCCCCTTATCCACAAACTACCTTTCCAGTGTGTAACAAAAAGATGCCACTGTCATTTCCCAGGGAGGGTAAGACCTCGGAGCGCACTAAGAGGATCTGCCAAAGAGAGCACATGTGCAGAGATGAGTGTTTCTTCAAGCAGAAATCTGGAACTGCTAGAGAATATATCCACAGACTTTTTTGTTGGAAAAGAAGTAAGTGAAAATAATGTATTATCAATGAAAATATTAATCCAAGATGTCTGAAAGACTGAAGAGTTAAATAACAGAGTTTTCACAAATGTATGGACTTGCATGTTTTCTTCAGGTATAAGTAAAAGGATGTCTCTGAACATGCCACCTTTTACTTCCACTTTATACATTATTAATATTATATTATTAATTAATACATTATTAATACTGTTAGCTACATGCTTAAAAATAATAAATCTCCAATATTCAGTAGATTATGAACCCTTACTTTAAGAGCAGAATTAGAAGACATTTCCAAAATATGTTGAGCTTAACCATCTATTAGGATCCAAAGAGTATTTCCTTATTCCAGAACACATAAGATTAGTAATTTTTATAGTGTCTCCCCACATGTCATGTGAAAACATTTATTCTACAGTTTGCTCCCCAACTTAATTTCCTATTTGGAAATTCCAACTATTCATAACCTGCTACCTACGCTATGCTACTAAAATTCATGGGGTTTTCCCAGTTCTGAGTTCACATGGAAATGAAAATTAGACTCCTTTTTGCTTCCAGTCAGCTTTTCCCCAAATACTGGAGCAAAGTATGAACTACCAAAAGCAAACACCTGATTCTGCAGAAAGGACCGCCTACATTCATCATGGCAAGTAAAGCTGTTTTGGCAATACATAACTGAAAAATGGTGATGCAAAACTATATTGTGTTTTCAGTCACTGGCTGCAAATTCAGGTTCTCATTTACTCAGATCATATTTAATTATGGTGATGCCTTTCCCTGGTATTAAAAGTGGAGAGCCAGACAAGGTTAAGGGATAAGGGGTTTTTACCTCAGTATGTAATAAGGTTCATTACTGGTGCACCACTTTGCCAAGGTGGGATATGACCCAATGCACACACACAACAGATCTTGTATACAATTTATAGACCTTCCAAATTAGCTTATCCCCAATGGGAGGCCTGGATGAATGGCATGAGATTCTCCCACCTCATGGGAATTCTCCCTGGATGGGCCAAATCTCCAGTTTACAGGATATGTTCTAGACAGGACCTTGGTTTCCCAGGATAGTGTAGGGTTTTCCAGCCTCCTGCTACAAGGCCTTTAGGATGTTTGCTCTCCTGGCCTAACAGAACACTAGGACTGTGCTAAATTATTAGACTTAAGGAATTACAAGTCTGCATGCTAAGAATACTGAAGATACATAAAAGTTATATAAAAAGTATATAAAAGAAAAAGCAAAAAATCATCTTGGCATCAATGTTTATAATTAAGAAAAGTCTCAGCTTAAAAACAAGTCACTTTGAAATAAGCCACCAAGCTCTAACATTAGCATTTGCTTGATTTTTTGACATTACAGGATGGAGAAGTTGTTTATTCTGAATGGAAAAAGAAAATTGATGCTAATACAGCAAAACCAGTTAGTAAGTTCAAGCTTCTCAATATTTGTTTAAGCCTTAATATATTACTAACTTGAAAATATTTGTGTCTATACTTCATCTTTTTAAGGTTCTTGCTCATAGCTCTAATAGTCTCTCTCACTGATAACACCTGGATTTAACAGTACACCCTCAAAAGTGCAAGCACTTTAGCTGGCATGAGAAAATAGTACCAAGATATTGGCACAAATCATGGAAGTAACTAGATTTGTGGCAAATGCAATTCCTGTACCTTGTGAGTTAAAAAAAAAAAAGAGGCTGATATCTGCCAGGGCTGTGGTAGGTCCTGCACTCTTGTTTCTTGATCCCTAAGGCACTAGTAACAAGCAACTGCCTTTTTCCTCCAATAGGTCAGAAGCACTCCCAGAAATACTCCCTCCACACCGAAACTATCAACACTCTCCAGAAATCTCCATTTTTTAAAGACATCTTTCTAAGCATTGGAGGCCAGAGGTTTGCCATTTGGAAAGAAGGAGTTACAGTAAGTTACTTTAACACAGCTGTAACTTTTGTGATAGGTGTACAAGAGTGTAGTCCTGCTATAACAGGCTCAGAGACTGTATTTTCAGAAACATGTAAGTCATGAAGCTTCATATCTTCAAACAGATATAAAAGAAGCTTTCCATCTTCACATCAGAAAACTATTTTAGATAGAGCTCAGTAGACTTGCCTTTTACAGAAAAAGTGAAGTGACTTTCTTAAATTCCAACCTTGTAAAAGGCATAGCTTACCAACTATTAATTTCTTCTGCTAGGGAAATGCCTGCTGAACAAATCTGAAGAAGTTGTATTTTAGGACAAGGTTATTTCAGCACATGAAAACAAAGAAACATGGGGGTTTTTTAAGGGTCTCATGCAGGAACCCAGGTTACCTGCACCTGAAAAAATCTCTGGACCACAGGTTTTAACAGCAGACAGACAGATTACCTGAAGAGACTGGAAGTGAGATACCAGGGTTTTTATTTCCTCACAATCCTTTATATCTGCAGCAGGTAGCAGGAATTTTGCCATTGATATAATTTTTGTAACAGGACCATTTAAATGGTGAGCATTTTCCAAGACAGAAGATCTGAAATAGTGACTTGATAGTACTGTTTAATTGTCTGGTCTATCTTTTGTTTTACAAAAAAAATTAAGAATGGACCAATCCTTCAGTCAAGCTGCTCTGCAGGAAGATACACTGCAGGACAATGGTCCTTAACAAGACCAGGAGTTTTCTTCCTTGGCAGAGACAATGGAAGTATAGATATTTGGGACTTACTGAAGAAAACTCATGAGCCATCTCATTTCCAGAACATCTCCAAATCAATCATCACTTGCATCAGCCCCTCCATTGCCTCAGGTATGTGGGTGGTGATTGTGCTTTATTGTGCTGCACTGTTTGCAAAATGGCTCATGACTCTGAATAACACAAATCTTACTACAAATGATCTTAAATAAGTGCATATTTCCACAAATTAAACACTGTACCTACAAAAATGGATACTTCAGTTCTAAGTGTACTATCATGGCATAAAGGCAACTAAAAATATTTCATTTTTTAAAAAAGTATTTTAAAAGAAAAACTTGAAAGGTATTAATGAAATAACAGAGCAAGAAGGTTGGTTTTTTTGCTGCAATGAACAACAAACTAAAAAGACCAGAAAAAAAACAAGAACTGTCCATAGCTTGTCTTTGGGTGGAGGTTCACGTTGCTGTTGGAATTTGGATTGTTTATACTTTTTTTGTCAAATATCTTTCAGCAGAGCAGCATTTTCTGGCTGTTTCTGACAATCTTGGAGTTCTGCACATTTTGGAAATCTGTCAAACATTATGTCAACCTCCAAGTAATGAGGTTAGTAAGAATTTTTATTAAATCTCTTTGACACATTATCCTGAAAACTCCAACACAGAAACAAGTCTGCATCTTCAGATAATGGCAATTCATTTGAGATCAGTACAGCCATATTCTCCAAAGATCACCTGTAGACAAGCTGGCTTTGTACAGAGCTTAGATAAGAGTCAGCTAAAGGAAATCTCAGTGATAGGTGGCAGAATTCCACTGTTCCAACCTGGCTACATGAAAACACAATTAAGAGGCCAGCATTTTTGTCACATCCATAAAATGACACCTTTCATGCAGTAAAACAATGCTTTAGAGTGCATAGCAATGTATATATACTGAATTCCTTTTTTCTTTACACCTTCTTGTCCACATTTGTGTTAACTTTTTTTTCCTTATAATTTGGACATTCAATTTGCATATCTTTATATCTGGTTCTGGTTCAGTGAAAGCACATTTTGAAAGCTGTTACTAACATTCCCACTCATTCACGCTCTTGAAATAAGGACCATCTGTACCAAAAGGCCATGGGAACAATGCAAGCAGTTTTCATTTCCCTTTTTTTTCTACATAGTTTTCAGTTTTTCTTTTCCTCCACCTCCCAGACAAGGATCCAGCTAGTGTCAGTCTAGCAGTCTTGCCTCCTGCCTAGCCTGTTACTCTTACACCACAAAACCATCTTCCCATTCTCCTGCAGTGTAATGTTTATGCAGGCTCTTAAATAGTTTATAAACATCCCATAAAGGTTTGCCATGCACAGAGATGCAGTAGGCAGCAATAAAACATCTCATCAGCAGCTTCATTTTAGTAAAAACAACTTCTCCAAAGCAAGGCAGGAGCTGAGTGATCTGAGGAAACACATTGCTTCTGCACAGATTACCTGTGCTTTGGAACCAAACTCTTTAGGGTGCAGCATTATCAACCAAAGAACAGCCACTAATATTTAGATTATGTTCATTGTAACTCAAGTATTCACTGAAAAACACTAGGCTGTTGAAGAGACTAATAAAAAGTAAAACACAGAATCACAAATAAAATAAATGCAAAATGTACTACCAAAGTATGGTAGTTGATGGTTTCTTTGTGCCTGAAGTTTGTCACATCTTTGTATTGTTTTTCTGCAAACGACTGGGATAAATAGATATATCTCTATTTCCAATCTGGATAAAATATGAATACCATTCAGATCATCAGCAAGAGATCTGTGTCTTTCAGCATGTAGTGACCTTTGTTTGTCACTGTGTTTACAGCATGAAAAAGTACTCGATTACTTCAAAAGAGAAGTCAAATATCTGAAGCACTGTGAAGAGGAGTTTGAAGAGTATCAAAAGTTTCAAGCCAAAACAGAAATGAAATTGAACTGGAGACAGAGAGACAGAAAACAGTATGTTACATTTGGAATTAAAATGTTCTATATTTCTTTTTATCTTTAAAATGCACCCGTATTGCTAGACAGGATTTTCCACAAAAAATCAGGATGGGCATAATCAGAATTGTTTAGCAGCTCTTTATTTCATATCTATGGTTCTTAAGAATGGAAAAGATGGTCCCATTTCATGTGGTGCATTTCTTGGTCAAATGAACCCCCCTGCAAGAGCATTAGAGCCTATGGACATTTAGCAACTATAAATTTGCTTTTCATTTTACACCAGTTGCTTGGTCAAAAAATTACATTTTGTCAACTTCCCTATAAAGTTCCCTACTGCTCCTTCAAGCAAGGATGGATTCCAGCCTTCCCTTCTTTACAAACAAATTTTGCTTATCCATTTTTTGGTAAATGGTTTAACACTAAATAACTAAACTGTCATAATAACTAAACTGCCATTTCTCTGGTTGATTGATGTAGCCCATGGTGATGCCTATTTTCATTAATTTGTGACAGCACTGGCACAATCCACTGGAAAGCAATAGGGTCACATACAGTTTCAAAGCTTAACAGTGCATTATTGCCTGGTTTGTTTCTTTGCTTTCAGATTATGACTACAGAAAAGAGAAGAAGAGATGGAGAATCAAGAAAATGCACATTATACTGTGTTTCTAGAGCTGGAGAAGCAGATAGTAATGGATTTAGAAACAAGAAATACTTTCCTCACTGGATGCTTAGAGCCCATTATCCCCCTTAAAACCAGCAAGCTTCTTATTGAAAGACCTCTATTTGAGCAGAATGTGTTTAGCTTTGGAAATAAAGAATCTTGCAGCAAGAGATTATTGTTTCATTAACCTTATCTATTTGTTTGCTCAGTGCGGTTAAAGAACAATTGATTTGGACCCAGTTTCCCCACTATTTTTCCTTAATACAGTTATAATGAATATTCTCTTTAAATAATAGTTTTCAAAGCTCTGTCAGGACTCTGAACTACTTTTACTTGCTATCATCAGTTTACAAACATATTGTTACTTAATCCTGGCAAGTCCTTACAAATAGAAAACCAAGTCCATTAAAATATATTGTTCTCTCAAATAAATCAGTATTATTTAGAACAAACAGCTTTTAGTAAGCTCACTGTAGCTGTGCATTTCTGTCAAAAGACAATTATCCCTCAGAGAGATCAAATGGTGTTATACAGAAGTTTTAATATTTACCAGTGTAAATAAGTAACAGCTCATGCATATTAATGCCCACTCTCCATCCAGAGAGGACTCTCTGGTAAGAGCTTCTGCTGCTACTTCAATAGCCAGGTCAGACACCATGTAACTGAGCAGAGCCTGTCAGGCAGAAATTAAATCTATCAGAGGAGGACAGATTAAACCCTATACGGGTGAGTTCACTCTTTCCATGACTCACCAAACTGTTTGAGGGTCACAGACTCCTGTCAAACAAATGTCCATGTGGTCACAGTAGACACTAAAGCACAAAAGACAACTGACACACAGGGGATTTGCAGAAAGGATCTTCAGCTGACAAGCAATAGCCAGCGCCAGTGCTCTGCTTCGTCAGAGTAAAGCACAGCCAAAGAGAAAACAGGATCAGTGTGAGGCTCCTGCATCCCAAAATAAACACTGCAAATTGGGGTTAGGCAGTGTTAAAGACATGGCCCTTCAATTTTCTACAGCCAGGATCTCTCTGTCATGTACTTTTAGCACTTTGATTGAACTTTGGTCAGATTAAGAGAGATTTGGAGCCAATAGATAGGACTTGGTTTGAAAAATGGTCTCTTGTTTGTTCCTTTTAAGTTTAAATATTATAGCAATATTCCTTGTCTTCACGTTGAACTAGTTCTAAATTAAAACCAAGGAAAATTCAACAAGCACATCCCTAGCACCTGCAGCACAGTGTTTGCAGTCAGAGTGCAAACAGGAAGAGAACACTGCTCCTCTGCTAAATCAATATTTAACTAACAAACAGCCTGCTCTACACTGATACGTAAACATCATACAACCGACTAATTAAAAAGCTCACCTATTATCAGGCTTGGACTTCATTAGCACACCACCTCAGAGCATCTTCCACAGATTTCTTTTGATTAAGAGGGCTGCAAACTACAGATAGATCAGTCAATCAGATGGCCATGGCTTATCTGGAAAGCCCAGCCAACCCCCCCACTGCAGCTCTGTCACTACTCCCCAGAAGAGGCAGCAGCCTCAATGGGAGCCTTGTTCCCCACCACAGAGGCACTCTTAAGAGTTTTGATTTTAAAAATATCCCAAAAGACAGAGAGATGGGCTTTCCTAACAGCAAGGCCAAAGAGGCAGCAGATCAGGATTCTGCTTATCAGAATCCCTCCCCTCCCGACAGCAGTTTGGGGAGCTGCAGGAATGACCAATGGAAAGGGAGTCATCTTCCTGAGAGCCATTTTCCTCCTCATCTCTGTTCCCAAGTAACACAGGAGACATGAGATTAGACATCCCACCAGGATCCTTTCATCTAACACAACTCTAGATGTTCAAATACCTGCAGGGCCAGCTTTGCATCATCTCCCGTCAGGCCGTTGCAGTTCTGCCCTGAAGATGTTGAGGCACATCACAGGTTTTCCTGCTTGGTTCTAAGGGACAAGCACAATGAAAACAGTTAATTCATTATGTAGGATAACATTTTTAAAAAATGTATCATAGTTACATGACAGTGTAACATCAGTCCCCCCTACACCCCAAATAACCATCCTTCAGCTGGTGTAAGCTGCAGAATGCGAGACAACAGCTTCCTATATCAAAATATACTTCCTGTCGAGAATGCCAATATCCCCATCCTTGGGATGGGGATGAAGGGGAAGGGGTTAAGATCTGACAGGGGAAATACCACACGTGTCTCTGCTTTATCAGATTTATAGATTTATTCTGTAAAAATCCTACATACCTGTTGGGGATGTTTCCTTCCATTTTTAGGACGTGTCTAAGCTGCAGATCCATTTTTGTCTGGTGCATTAACAAACATACATATAGGTTACACATCTGGAAAAGACAGATGTAAATACCTGAAGTTTCTGAGCTTGTAGGTCCCCAGTGGCTTAAGCCACCCCACTATCCCACACTCCACACCATCCCCAACCCCCTCTTACATGCTCCTGTAATGAGCAGTTTGGGAAGCTAATAGGGGGAAAAGCAAAAAGGTGGATCAGCCACACAGCACCAACAGTGTTTGGAATGTGGAAAATCCTATTTAAACAAACAGGAAAGGATTAAAACTCTACAAATGGCCCTAGTTCACTCCTAAATCCACTGAAGTGTATCATATCCCTAACCCTTGGCAGCAAAGAAAGCACAGACCTACACTTGCATTTCTGCTTTTCCCTGGGGACTACAAACTACAATTCTTGGTTGTGACCCAGCCCTGCACTGGCCATCAGTGGCTTGTGCTTGGGTAAAACCATTTGTTTGTGATTTTGGTGCAAGCCCTGGAACTGCCTCTGTAAAAGCACCCACACCCATTTTCATTACCTGGAAGCAGAGGTCACACCTGAAGGAAGTGCACGGACTCCAAGGACAATTTGCTGTCTGAACTCCACTGCAGGCTCTCCCTCTGCTGTTAACTCTTCCAGTCCTGGTGAACAGGAGCTGCTCCTGGTGCCAAAGGAGACTCACCCAGCAGCCAACAGCACGGGTCAGCACAGCAAAGGAGGCTGCTGGCTGTGGCCACAGGGCTGGAGGAGCTCTGCCCTGCATCCACACACAGCCAGAGGCTCCCCTTTTGTGTAAAAAACTTAATTACTGCTTTGGCAGAAGCAGGTTGTTTTAATCTCCCAGTTTAGTGTTCCTAGATTAAGGTAATTCCCACAGTAATGCTGTTCCTTAAGAATCTGTAACAATCACAAAAAGAATGCAGCTTGACCAGATTCTAGAACTCACTATATGAAATATAACAGTCTCTATAAGAATATATATATATATATATAAGGAATAACATAACAAAATACCACTTGGGAAATATCTCATTAAAGGAGGATTTCTAAGATACAAGATGTGTTTTACAAATTGTTATAAGTAAATTACCAAGACATGTTTCAGTAATACAATATATTAATGCTTTTTAATTACCTTATGATATTAACATGAATACAATTTATGGAGTCACTAATTTCCACTGTTGTAATATTAAAATACTCAAATTGACAGAATTACAGAGTCCTCCTGGAGGAAAAGCTTATGTGCATTCAAGAGGTGACCACTTGACTCATCTGGATTATTAGGCAATGAAAGATTAATAAATAAATTTAAATGCAAACATCTTTCAAAGAGTGCTAATGGAGTAGTGGTTTGTTTTTAATTACCCAACTCAAACATTGGGTCAATCTGGACATGACAACAGAACAAAACATCTGAAAAGCTAAATGTCTTTATATAATTAACTCACACGTGCAGCCAGTGCAAATGGATTACATCAGTTTGGACAGGTTTAAATAATCACGAGCTAGGTAGAGACAGATTTTGTTCTTAATTAAAATTTTATTTAGAATTTAAATTTATAGTTTAAAAAGTATGCACATTCTGTAGGTATAAAAGTTTAAAAAAATACATCAATTTATTGATAAATGCTTCAGGTTAAATTTACATTTTCATTCATATCATTATATTGCAATAATTGTTTTGCATCTTTTAACACTTATAAAAATAAATTAGTGAGATTGAATAACCCATTGGAACCATGCTAAAATAATTCCTTAGAAAAGAGGGGTGAAGTTTGCCATAGTAATTCTTAATTCCTTGCTACTGTAAATAAATAACTCTTCAATTAAGGAGTATAATGAAGTACAGGTTAGCAGAAAAGCACTTACCCACAGGGTGAATGGAAAGCCATGGTGGGATGTCAAAAATCGTACCAAAAAGATGTAGAATTAATTTCTACCCTGCCAGCTGGCAGCAACTGACCTCTGAAAACACCAAAGCCTTCTCAGCCCCACCTGCCCAAATCCCCCCTTCCTTGGGGGTGTGTATGTGACCTGTAGAGGACAAGGAATGACTCTCTATGGCCTTTTGGTTAGAAGGACTATCAAAACACCTGTATACAATTTGGTGACTATTTTTACCTGAATCAAGAATGTGTTTCCTTAACAGGAAATGTTTAATGGCTCACCATAAATGACTAGAGATAAAAGAGGCTCTGACCAGATGGTGATAGCTGAATCTAATAAGGTCACAGTGAACTGCAATCCCACCCAAACTCCCCAGGAGTAATATCATTCCACCCCTTCAACCTCATGTGACAATTCTGGCTTCTGTTTTTGGGAGAGTAATTTAAAAAGGAAAAAAAAATAAAAGCAACTGGCTTGGTGCTGAACTTGTATCTTGTTATCTCCAGAGCCACAACCCTTTAGAGAGGATTCAAATGCATCTAACTATCAGCAGCAGCCAAGAGTACCACAAGAAGAATACATGAAACTCTGGAAAGAGAAAAACGTACCAAAACATCAAAAAACAAAGCAAGATGTTATAAAGGAAAAACAAAAAATATTTTTTGAAAAGTAAATACCTTCCAGACCTTCTTTATATGTGAAAAAAACATGGAGGAAGAAACAAACAATGAAGAAAAAAAAACCAAACTAAACAAACAGAGAAAGGGTGATGTGTGTGTGTGAAAGTTAATAGTCAACACCTGCAAACGGCTGTTCCTGCAATACACAAGGTCATTTCCATTAATCATTCACCCTACCTTCTCTCTGGCCATGTTTCTGTGCATAAATCAAATGCTGTGTTACCAAAAGGGTAACCTTGTCCTGGCATCACTGAACATTCTTCCTGGAAATGGGAACATTTCATAATTCTGAGACCTTTCCTTTACAAAGATGGCTACAGACACATGCACATTTATACATAGATATATACAAACAAGGTTAGAAAAATATTTATTTTTGCTTGTTTAAATAATTACTGAAAAGTGTTAATACAGTAATACGTTAATATTTGTACAATTAAAACTTTATATATAAATATTATATAAAGCATTTTTCATAGCAGCCATTGCATATATAGTAAAACAAGTCTATCTGAAGTCCCTGCTGCAAAATTCAGGCCAAGCAGCATTCATCCTCTTCTGAGAGGAACATCTGTACCAGAGCCAGGAGTTCAGGAATGAGGAATTCTGCTGCCACTGCCAGCAGAGATGTTGCTTTATCTTCTACCAGGTACTGCCCAGGCCACCTAAGTGCATAGTGTTTTTGGGGAGAAATGTCACTATGTGGAATCACATCACAGCCTAAGCTTGTCTCCAACACAAATCAGGACAACACCTTCCAAGAGAAAGGCAGAAACATTACGGAATGGCTTCAAATGTGCTAACACAAGGTGGGCCATGGCCTTACCACGGGGTGCCCAGGGGCACCATCACTCCTCACTCAGCCAGGGAAGCCCAACAAGGGGCACGGAGGCACAAGGAGATGTTATGCAGGACAGGATTTAATAACTCATATTTAGTTTGTTTTTATTGAGTTCCCTTTCCAGGTTTCCTATGAGAGTATCAATACTTTCCTGCAGGTCCTTGAGGTGTGCACTGTGATCCACTGCAGAGTCCATGGCTGGCACCGCCAGGCAGCTCCCACAGGGGAGCTCTGTGGGGCCGGGCTGCGGGCGTCCCGCGGGGCCGTCCGGCTCCTCGGCCCTGCTGCTGTCCTCCCCGCTCTCCGTGCCCTCCGAAGGGACATCATCATAGTCTGCCTCCCCCAGGCAGTCCCTGGGGCTTAACAGGTAGTTCTCCCCACAGCTGCTCCAGTCCCCAGCATAGCGGTTGCTGGATGGGCTGTCGAGGCCGGCTGGCCTCGGTCTGAGCACCCCCGACATGTCGGCACTGCTCAGATTCAGCACCTGCGGTCTCTGCCTCTTGGGCCTCAGGTAATTCAGGCAGGAGGAGTGCTCAGGAAACACACTCAGATGTGCTGGCTCTTTGGCAGGTGAGTGATGAACTAGAAGAGAGAAGTTAAACCAGTCACAACTGAACCCATGCTGCAAGACAAAAGTCCATGGCAGCTGCCCCATGTCATCCCTCGATGTCCCACTAAGCATGAAGCATGCACAAATACATGCAATCTTACAGCCAACACATTGCACACTTTTTGCCATTGTTTGATATAAAATAATTAAGAAAAACTACTTTTTCCTAATTTGAAGATTCATGCCAGATTCAAATTACAATAGAGAAGCCTTTCTAAAAGTAGAAACTCCCAGAACACCAATTAAATTCATTGTATGACTTAATCACCATTCAGCTCTGGTCAAAGAAAAGCAAACTACTCGGTTCACACACTTCATCCAGGCTAAGGAGTAACAGAAAGGAGGCACAGCAAAAGAGATTAAAACCCAACAAAACACCACCACTGAGAAACCCCTAGAGAAGCTGACAACACATTGAGCTGAGCTCTCGTGCTTCTCTTGTGCCCTGATGCTCTGTGCCATTGAAGGAGCTGCCCTGCAGTAATTCCTCTGTGCAGCACAAGCAGAGGTACACTCACACGTTTGCTGGCAGGGTTACCTGAGCTCACAAGTGCACAGCACAGTCCCTGACTGGCTCCTCTGCTGCGACCTGCTGCCCAAGGCAAACAGCACTGCTCTGCTCACTGCCCTGGGCCTAGTAAGTATCTGAGCTGCAAAACTTCTGGTTTATACACACCACTGCTTCTTGTAATGAGCAGCACAGACTTCCTATTCCCATCCACCCCTGAAAAGGCAGTGCACACAAACCCATGCAGCTCACCATGTGAGCCCCTCCTTGTTAGACTCCCCACACGCAAGCACAAAGCTTCAGTCCTGAAATGTGCCCAGTCCTTCTCCTTCTGGATCCACAGTAAGGCCTCTCCAGGGGATTTTGCTTTATGTCTTGCACAGTAACAAGCAATAACTCTTACTGCTTTCCCCCCCCTTACTATAACAAACCCCTTCTGTTTAGACTGTGCTCCATTAAGCGAAGGGCCATGGGTTAACAATAACT